AGTTTATTAAGAAAGGACTTGTGTCGCTAAAGTTTCGTCGGAACGAAGTTACGGAAAATTAACTAACGACTGGAGACGTAACAATATTAAACGTTAGGCCTATCACGTCTACGGTAGTTAACTTCTCGCCGAACTATTACTTGGCCTGTAACTTTACTATTATCTGTCTGCTGTTGTCTGTCTCCCATCTATTTACATCTTTATTACTTGTCTACCCGACTTCTATATTCTCGATGCCAATGTATTGGATAGTCTCAACATCAAATAATTATTAACAAAACTTCCTACAATCGTCTGTTTTTAACTTATATTATAACAACAACTAAACAATAATAAAATATTAACTCACAGAAATAAGTTAATCAATAATATCTAAACAAAACAGTCTTTTATATAATGACAAACTGTGATAACCAACAACGTAACGTCTGACTTGTTTTAATATACTATTTTAAAACAAGTGGACTGTTTTGCTGTTTGTATAATGTTGAAATTTTTCGTCAACATGTCGCTGTAAAGAATCCAGCTTACAAAATCCAACAATAGCAATACGGCTTCGGGATTCTAATTACAAAGTGTCAACAGAAGCCATTGCATGCTAATATTTCAAGTTTTAAAATGCTAATACTTCCTCAGAAGTATCTAGACTTTGTAGAAAACGTTAAATACCATAAGCAGCTACGCTATAACCATATAAGCATACTTTTTTTACATCACAAAAATTTGAGGTTCAACTGAACCTCCTTGAACCTCCCTCCCCCTGCGTACGTGCAATATTTTAACCGAATAAAATAAAAGGATCCGCCTAAGGACAGAAAATGTTGCAACAATATGCAGTTTTCGTATTTTTCAAGAGAAACAAATAATTCATATTAGCGATACCAATGCAAAAAAATAAAGAAAAAATATCATATAACACAGAAAAGAGCAACAAGTAGTTACAAAATATGACCATTTAGGAGAGAAAAAAATGGCTGTATGAGAATAGTTGAAGTGAATAACAATTATAGCCAACACCAAAATTGTACTCACAAGTAGCCAAAACTTTGTAGTAGTACGAAGTAAAATGAAGTTAAAACAATACAGAAAGGAAAGTGTTTTCCTTAATAATACAAATAAATTTTTGCAACAAAAATATTCAATGTTTCCCCCCTTTTTTTTTACCCCACGAAACGAAATATCTTATTTCAATGAAACCAAACATCTTTTGATTTACGAGCTTTATAGGTGTATTGATTCATTCCAGTTACTTATTTAGCTGAGCTGCATGTAATTGAATCCAGCAAATAAAATTGCTTTAAAAAGTTAAGAAATCGGTATATTATAAAAATGCGCGGATTCTTATATCACGTTCTTTTTAGTTTGTGAACGATACCAACGTCGGTAAACAATTGTTACTAAAATAAGTTAATAAAATTTAAAATAAATATGATAGTGCTGGCATCTTGAGTCCTTATTTCAAACAATTATGAATGACATGAAGCAAGTCAGTTAACATGGCGACAAATGACGATGAGCCTATGCATTTATACGAAGTGTTCCAAAATTGTTTCAACAAGATAGCAAATAAACAACAAGGTAGATATTAAATAATGTTATTTTTTCATATGTGTTCGTCATCTATTTTTGTATTCCATAATAGCCACAGCCTACGTGTATTTATCCGTCAGTCGTTTGTACGGGGGTAAAATTGCCGTGGTGTAGGCTTCAGTCCAGAGGATTGTCGACTATGTCTCTGCCGTCGAATTTAACACTGAGTTAGTGTAAACAATACAGGAATTCATAGTGCTACTACTGAGCGATAATGCAGTCAGGCATTTAATAGTGTACTATTTACTGGTAGTGCATTGAAGATCAAAAGTTTGTTTTGGCACTTAGTACTACTACTAGTAATATATGGCTTACTTCTTGAACTTGAAGTTTTCAAATTTAGTATTTATATTGCAATTTTCAGCACAGCAGCACATTCCAGCTTGAGATTTTTTTTTGCATTTATCAGTGTTAGTGTCCTGTAAATATATTTTAAAAATTGGAATAAGATCCTTTTTAAAATTAATATTTAGAAATTAAAGAAGAATAACACTGTGAGGAAGCTGAAGTTTGTTAATTATTACGTATAGTTTATACCTTGTCTGTTGTAGAATAATTGCATTACTGCTATATTTGTCTCTCTTTCCCTTTGTATAGTAGTTATCAGCTCAACCCCCCATCCAGGATTAGAAAACTGTGGGAAATCCACATAATAACAATCATCCCAAGCCCTTAAAATATTATTAATAGATGAGAGTCCAAGCTATCTCAAATTGCCTCATATCTGTATAAAAACTAATTCTTTGTTTGTTTCCTATTTAAATTGACTACCTAAAATCCTGTGGGGGTGTCAGGGTAGGACATGCCTTCAAATGGGACTGTAGTTTCCTTTATTTTGTGGACTTTTAATGACTTTGTGTAAAGTTTATTTAAAATTTTCTAGGCAAAGGTTTACTGTTTCAAGTTTTTACCCTACCAACTCTTTCATAACATAGTGTTTTTCCAAACAGAAATATACTAGAACATTTGTGTAAAACTGCTAGTATAATAGGGTTTTACAAATCCAGTAGAAAAATATGCATTCTATGCATGAAGCAGAACTAGTATGTACTTACATTTTGCTTCAATTTACTATATTTTTTGAATTTCTAAACTTGATGTTAGATTATTTCACAAAATAGTTTATTTTGTGCTAAGAAAGTGATGCAAAATGCTGGTTATTACTTTTAGTACTGGACACAGCATATAGGTCCAACATTGACAATGTCTTCATTTATTGGTGTCATGAATGTTCCAACTTTAAGTACATAGGTTACACCATAAGGAATGAAGATTGTCCACTGAATGCCTGGAAATGTCTATTCCCTTCGTATTCTTCTCTGCATCTATTAGCTAGAAAGGTATGAAATACACAAATATTAAACACATTATTATTTGACATTGATTTGATGCTGTTATCCAAGACATCATGCAAAAGTTATCCAGCAAATTTTAAAAAGCAACAACAGGCTGTTTGATACTATTGCTTATTGTCTAAATAGCTAGTCATCTTTGTATCATATTCCTTTGTTAATTTAAATGTTTTCTTTGTGTAATACTTCCATATTACATATTGGAATAGTTTCTTGTAATCAGTCTTTGATATTGCAGCTTTTCTATGTTTATGTTATGAAAAATTATAAAAATATTCATATAGTTTTTCTCGTGATGCATGTTTATAACACTTTATTATTAGCTGTTGAAAAATAAAGTAGGCTTATCATGAAGCATATTTTGCAAAGGAGGTGTTCCACGTGATACATTGTCTGAGCAGTTGTGCATTACATGTGAGGTCCAGAGCATTTAGCTGTGGGTTAATCGGCCATAAAATTCATGTAAACAAAGATTTATCCAAGTTTAAAAGATACATGTAGTTGGATCCCACCTGGTCCAAGTATCCGAGTACATTTGTAACTGGTAAATCAAGAACCACTTTGTCACAGGTCTTTGTGTTAAGGAATGGCAGTCTGCATGATTGATAGGGAAAGGTGATGTTAACTATGTATTGTGACATCTGACAGACATCACTAAATATATGTTATTACCAAAACATTAAATTAAATTAGTGAGGGGGCTGCCTCAACCAAAATAATGTGCAGATAGTTAAACAGGATAGATTTTTGACTCATTAGGAACTTCCCCTTAATAAAGTTGCTTTACACTGTACATAACATCTTAACGTATTTGAGATAAAGTCAAGTAATCTCAGCCAGTCTGATAATCCCTGGTATTGAGTGAAAGGTTTCAGTGGCACTGCATAAGGCAGATGTATGATAATTGACATATTTTTCTTTATGGATTATTGTAATTTGAATTATAATTTTGATGGGAATAACCATAGCTGTGTTATGGAAGAAATGGATCTTGATGTTCTGGTTTATCAGTCTCTTAAGCTCAAAAAGAAGTATGCTATTGCTAATGAAGTACAAATAGAATTTTAGGTTCTATCCACAGGAATATGGAATACAGGACTAAAAAGATTGTAACCTGATTGTATAGGTCACTGATTAATACAGCTTGGCAGTTAATGGTATTTGTTAATCAATTAATTGACAACCCCAAAGGTGCAAGCAAAAAAGTTGGCTGCAGGTGTTGCCAGAGGTTGCCTTACCAACAGTTGAAGACTTGTCAACAATTTAAAGAAAAAAACAATTGGTGGTAGGTGCTGCCAGTCAGCTGCCTTTCCTCTAGTCAGCAGTTGAAAATTAGTGACAGTGGCAGATATCTTTAGTAGCTTTGCCATTACATAGACATAACAGCAATATATTGATTACTTGGATAGTTAAAAAGTGTTAGAGAGGATTTGATTGAGATGTTTAATATTATTGTTAATAGGATTGATAAATGATAAGAAAAACAGTTGAATACCTATATTTTCTGTGTTCTACTTAAATGAACTTTGCACAAAATGATAAACAGTTGAATAACTTTTGTCTATGTTCTCCTTGAATAACGTTTATGCAACGTCATTAAAAATCCATAACAGAATAAGGAGAAACTACAATGAGAGTTGGCAATTAGTTTGATCAATTGATATAATAAATCATTTATGGGCATTAATTAATATCTGGAACATGATCAATTAATTAATGTTTCTGATTATTACTGTTTTTTATTATTTCAACTGCTCAAGTAATATTGCCATTATGATTTCTCATTACTATTTTAAATTAATTCAAAGGTTGTTCGGCTTAACTAATTAGTGTCATGACTCATGAAAATTATCAAATAATTGAAATTAGAGTTTCTAATCACTACTATTTTTGATTATTCCAACTATCCAAGTCTCATGTGAGAATAATTGATTAATGAACCCAGTGATTAATCAGTTAGCAAATTCCACTAATTATCCAGCTTTACTATACACCAATTTTAAGGTGCGTCCCACCTGACTTCTCTATTGGATTATAGGGGGAATCATTTAGAGTAGGAAACAGCTGATAATTGTTAAAAGGGGATGAGGCAATCTAGGGGAACTTGAAATCTTGCCTGTTTGTATTATTTTTGGGGTTTTGGGGTATCTGTAACTGTATAAGGGAAGTATGTACCACCCTCGCCTCCTTCATAGGATTATAAGGGGAGTTGTTTGAGTGGGGAATATGCAAAGAAATAATTTTCAAAAATGGGGAAGCTCAAAATCTCGCATACTTATACTGTTTTTAGGATTTTGAGTATCTGTTCCACCTTATCATGGGTAGGATCATATCAGGAGTTAGAGTGGGGAACAAGCAAATTAAAAACATACACTCAAAAAAACAATTATAATAGCCATTTTTATACAAGCCTCGCATATTTTAACAATGTCTTACTGTTTAAAAGGAAGTCTAAATTGGACTGATAATGTGTACATCTTACTAACAGTAGGTTCGTGCCCGAGGATAGACGATTTGCTAATACTTTTCTATTTTAAAAGGGGTTATATGAGTTGCCCTAGGAATTAGACCAGTTTTTTTTATTTCTGAAAAACTGTAGAGAAACTGAAAAGAGCTTTGTAAAATCATATAGTGAAATATCACAAAATCAATATGGATCCAACAAAGAGAAATATTGCCTTACTGATCTGTTATCTTTTTTTACAAGGATGACAAAAACTTGTGTGTAGTTAGAATTTTTTGTTATTTCAGTCAAGCTGGCTGAATTAATTAAAAAAAATACATAGTATACTAGAAAAAATATCTTATCAGAGTGGAAAATACTGAAAGTTATGAAAACATGCATTAAACTGTCAATAAATCTGTTATTAACTTTATGAAGAATTACAAAAGTTTCTTGGTTAAAAATACAATCTAAACATATGCACTATTCAGGGAGTACTGTAATCTTTTCTCACTGCTGTAAACACTTGCATGCAACACAGACAACACAATCCTTTGATTAAAAAAAATACAATACATGAAGAAGAACCATTTATATGTATACTAGTTACCCTAATATATAATGGATACCCTTTAACAAAAACTTATAATACATAAAGAACAGCTTTATAACACAGATAAAATAATGATTACACTACAGAATCAAAACATAAAAACCTGTCTTTATCAGTATAATACTAAAACAAAGAATTACAAAATAAAAATATGCAAACTGGCAAAATTACAAATAGACAAAACCTTTTAATAAAGAAAATCATGCAACATGCATTATCAACTTTTTAACAATAAAACAATAGCTATACCACAAAAGTAAACCTTTTAATAAGAAAAATATAAACACTAAGAAATTCAAGCACAATACATATAAAAGGAAACAAACCCCCTTAAATACACAGAAGTAATTACAACCAACCCTTTTTAACATTAAATCATGTAACACATGTCAAAATACTCCTTAACGTATATCACATTATTTATACTAATAAATACTATAACAATAATTACCATACTCATTGTTAAAACCCTGTAACAAAGAATACCAATACTTTGATAATAGTCACTTCATAATGAACAGATAATAACATATAGTACATATTTAATAGGAACTATGAAAACACATTAACATACACATCGAACTTTAACACACACAACACATTCATTAAAGTAATACATGCTGATACCCTTAATAACCACAATTCACACCAAAGAATACAAAACTAAATTTTAATACCAAGCACAACATTACAATACAAAGCCTTTAACAAAGGTATAATTGTCAAGTTATCATCATATAAAGCAACAAAATGAAACAATACAAGATTAAATCCTTTAACAATGGTACCAACAATGAAAATATAACATTTTACAAATAAGATTCATACATAAAATTAAGCCCTTTACAATTAATGATGAATCAAAACACCTTAGAATAAAAACTTTTACATAAATATATAGCAAAACAAAGCTAAATCTCTTTACTGAAGTAGGAAATAAAATTAAGATAAAAAAGAAATGCAGATATATGTAAAATATGTGGAACCCTTAATTTAAGAAGAAAAAATAAATAAATAAAAAGTGTACACCTACCTCAACAGCAGTAAGGAAGTCTGACTTTTCTCATCCTATAAAATGACAGCACTATGATATCCCTGATTATTTTTCAGGCTCTTTTGGTTTGGGACAGCTCTGTTCGAAGCTGGCAGACCTCTTCCGATTAGGAAGGTGGCATTGAGTTCCACCACAGTCAATCTTCTTCCCAGTTTTACATGTCCTAGGCCTTAGTCCATTTGACGACTATCTCTTGAAAATACCACTTTAGTAACTAAATCTGATGCACTGTCAGGACCATGATAGGCAGGTTCATCCTCAGCTGTCTTTGCAACTATCTCTTGACAATACCACTTTAGTAACTAAATCTGATGTACTGTCAGGACCATGATGGGCAGGTTCATCCTCAGCTGTCTTTGCAGAACTTCTTAGTCAATGGTTGTTCAACTGATGATAGTGCAGAGGTCCTGTGATTTGGATCAGCTATATTCTGGGTAGCCTTGGTTGGTACTTGGCTGATTGTGAAAGTGAAGACCCTTGCCATTATTAGTGATGGTGGTGGTGTTATAAGCAGTGAGACCTTCACCGCCAGCTAGCGCCTGGTTACCATTCTCCTTCTCATGGTGGTATGGGCCATCAGAGTCCCTTGGGGCATTGTTGATGGCAGATGTCTTGTTCTTGCCTTCCCAGCATTCAACCACCCCCTCAAAACAACTTCAACTGCAGAAAGGCCTTCATCAGCTTCAAATCTACTGGTTCTACTGAGAATGGGCAAAGATCTAATGCCTTTGGCATGCTGTAATATTAAACCCTTCAACAAGACTGAACAAACTCATCTAATCTTTTAATCATATATAATTCATTATTCAATCAGTGTGCTCTTTATCGCTTATTAAGATTGTTCTTGCCTTCTCAGCATTCAGTCACCCCTCAAAACAACTTCAACTGCAGAAAGGCCTTCATCAGCTTCAAATCTACTGGTTCTACTGAGAATGGGCAGACATCTAATGCCTTTGGCATGCTGTAATATTAAACCCTTCAACAAGACTGAACAAACTCATCTAATCTTTTAATCATTATTCAATCAGTGTGCTCTTTATCGCTTATTAAGATTGTTGATCTCGGAGCACTAGGATCTTAAGGTCAGACTTTTAATAACAGATTTTTTTATATCTTGATATACCACATGATATGTATGTATGTTTAAGTGGTATATGTGTTTACATATGAAAATTTTGATGTTTATAGGATTATTATTATTATTATTTTTTAGATATTGACTAGTACTTTGTGCATTGAAGAAAAGTTAAATACATATTGTTACCAACTGAAGTTTTTGAAGAACTGTAATAGAGAGGCAAAATGTGTGCTTATTTTTCTGGTATTAATGACAAACAATGTGAACTTTAACAGACAGCTAATCGCAATGGAAGAATCAAAAGTAAGTGCTTGTATTGATAGCATGAAGCTAGTCAGAAGAAGTACACTTACATATTCAATCATGATGAAATAGCTCACATTTTAAGGAGCTAACATGAGGTTATGGTCTGACTATGTGAACATATTGAATACATTGTATGTTAGTGTTGAAAATAAATTATTGTTATGAGTGGAATAAAAGTACCTAGTCTTTTACTGCAGTATAAGTCTTTCAGTGTATTTGACTAATTATCAGTAATTTTAATGTAAATCCATTATGTTACAGACAAAACTAGAGATGTGCCCTACAATATGCCTTATGCTTCTCAACAGATGGAGGTTCTACCTCAGGTATGTCTTCTCTATAACTAATTTTTAACAAGTTTTTGGTAACTAAAACATCAATTTGGTTTTTTTAATGAGTTCTGAATTAAATCCATGTCTTGTGTGTAATAATATATACCTATGATAATTCTCTAGTACAAGTAATATTTTAATATTAAAATATAATTAGCACCCAGAAAATTAACAACTGTTGGTGCTTTCTTCTGGAAGAATTAAAGTTTTCACTAGGGGCAGAGTACAACAAGAAGTAAAATTCATATAAAATTTGCTCTGTGTTGTCTAATTGATTAAAAGTTATAATTATTTTTCAATATGTTTGCTGTATGAATTTTACTGAGTCATAATAAAAGAAGGTAAGAACTTAAGGTTTAAAAATTTCTATTTAGGAATGCTGCTGGGTCATGGCTGAGAATTCATTGCACATGTTATTCTCAAATTGTAAATTTAATTTTAAATCAGATAATCAGGATTGAAATAGGATTTGACAAACCAGTGTTTCTATTTAAATAAATTGAAAAGATGCTCTTTTTTCCCCCTCAGTCCACTGAAAGAATTATAGGCAAATGAGGAAAAAAAATCTTAGAAACTGACCATTTTGCTTAATTAAATCCATATTAAGTTTTTCTCTGTCATGTAATATGCATTCAAGGAACAAGTATTTAAAATTCTGTGAAATAAGTGGCTAGTTATATGATCAGAACATAGAAAGGACTTTATACTTTTTTGTGAGATAGTAAGGGAAAAAACAAAAACACTTATAGGTCTACTTGTACATTTACTAAAATTCTCTCTCCTGTAGAGCTGGATGATTAGGTTAATTAATCAATATAAGTGATAACCTTTGAGTATCAATTATATTGATTAGTATCATGTAAAAATAATCAGTTGAAATTACAATTGAATTGGGCCCGGCATGGCCAGGTGGTTAGGGCACTCGACTCGCAATCTGCGGGTTGCGGGTTCGAATCCCTGTCACACCAAACATGCTCGTCGTGGGGGCGTTATAATGTGATGGTCAATCCCACTATTTGTTGGTAAAAATGTAGCCCAAGAGTTGGTGGTGATGACTAGCTGCCTTCCCTCTAGTCGCACACTGCTAAATTAGGGACGGCTAGCACAGATAGCCCTTGTGTAGCTTTGCACGAAATTCAAAAAACAAACAAACAATACAATTGAATTGATTAATGTCACAAAACATAATCAACTTATTGAAGTTAGTGTTTTCTGATTATTACTTTTTAGATTATTACAGCTTCCCAAGTTATTGAAATATTGCCATTATGATTTCTCATTATTATTTTTGATTAATTCAAGATCGTTAAGCTAAACAACTTGCAAAAGTAATCACCTAATCAAAATTAGTTTCAGACTATTACAGTTTAGATTATGCCACATATCTAAGTGTCATGCTAGAATAATTCATTTTTTATGTTGAGCTGGGTGGTTTAATTAATTACCTATGAGCAGCAATTACATTAATTAGTGTTTCCAATTATTACTGTTTTTATTATTCTAAATATTGCTGTTATATTTGTTAATTGTTGTTGTTTTTTAACTTTGAGGTTGTTCAGCTTTGGTGATGTGGAGGAGGGAGCTTCTGATTCAAAAGTCTTGGGTTTGATCCCCATTGCTAACAAATTTGCTCACCTTATCTTTATGGCAAAGCTGCTAAGACTACGTGTAATTTTCATTAATTTTAATCTGATCACTAGAGGGAAAGTAACCAACTGCAGCACTCACTTTCAACATTCTTTTTTTGATTATTTGTTTTGAACTGTTGAGTAGAGGGAAGGCAACAGTATGACAGCACCCATCACCAACATTTTTTTTTAACTGAAGAGGGAAGGTAAATGGCACCTGATGCCATTTTTTCCTCCTTTTTTTTTTACTTATATGCACCTTGGTGGCTGTACTAATTGATTCATTGAATGTAATTTATTATTGGGGCCATCGATTAATTGATTAGCAAATACCACTAATCACTAAGCTCTACAAGAGTGACACCAAAAGAAAGTAATTTTAGATTGTTGACAAGTGACCTTAATGGGCCAATTAGTTTTCTGTTATCCACTTTTTCACCTTTGTTATTTTCAATAATGAAGAAATTTTGTATCTGACACTATAAAAGAAATGTGAACTGCAAATCAAAATCATTAATCTCTGAGAAGATACTTCAGTATAAGCAGTTGCTTCTCAAAGAATATTGTCTGATGAATGAACTTTTGCATTTTGAAATTCTGTTTCCTAATATGTTATAAATTGTACTTGAGAAATATTTGTATATGATCCACATTAACTAGGTATGTGTATTTTTTATTATATTATGTTACATGTTTTTGTTTTCTAGTATAATATATCTAAATACATGTTAATTTCACTGTATTGTGTTAATGCTATAATTTATATTTCATCTAAATGGAAATTGATTCCAATATCAATAAAATATACACTTCTTTGTGATGTAATTAATCTTTAAAATGATTTTTTTGTTGTTGTAGGATTGTGGTAGTTTTTCTGACAATGAAGCCCTCCCAATCACAGATACCACATATATTCAATATGATGGTTTACCCCAGCAAAGGGTACTGACCAGTGATGAAAACAGAAGTAAATTCTTTTATATTTTTTGTTAGAGTTTAAAGTGTTTTTTTTTAATGTGTATATGAAAATAAAAAGTGAATTTAATATATCTTGAAATTTCAGTCATGTCATTAAGATGGATATTATAAACCTTTTCTGTATCATCTTGGTAATTAACTTTAGAAATTGTGCTGAACTAAACCCATTTTCGTTGTTAGTTTTATCAGTTATTAGTAACATCAGAAGTTAACACGTTAGTTCCATAAAGCTTTTCTGTATACTTTATTTCATTAAAACAAGATATCTTAATGCTATGAAAACTACAAGGGGTGCATCCTTTTTGTATATGATGTTTCAACATATGAGCTTTGGTGCTTGTTACTGTATTAATTATTTGGCAAAAATAATTCTAGGTTATTGAGAAGTTCACATTTTTGCTTGATTTAATAATTAATTCTTCTATTTATAGGTGTTGCAAGCAAGAGAAAAAGAGATGTAAGTATGTGACCAAGTCTTATCATCCAGTTATAATTAATTGGTTTAGGTTTTGTTTTGAACGTTTATCTAAGGAAGGAAAAATGTATCATTAAGAAAGGTGTCACAACAACTTTGAATAGGAACTCTGTTCCTTTATATTAAAATAGCAGGCTTTAATTGTGTAAATACACTATTTCTGTACTCTCTAGTTTCTTTTCGTTTATTTGTTTGCAGTATTTGTTTTAAGCAGTAAAAATTCTTTTGCACTTTTAAGTGACCAATTTTTAGCATTGTGTGGTATCAGTTTTTGTACCGTCTAATAATGATATACTTAGTTTCTCTCCTACCTCAACAATGACTGATTGTAGAAAGAATTAAAACTAGGCGTACTCCTTCTATGTTAACGCTTGCTTGACAAAATATGATATTGCAATGATGTTTGATTTCCTAAGATTAAAATCATATATTATGATAATTAGCTTTTTGAGGAGGAGATATTTGCTTAACCATAGATAAACATTCTAAATATTTGTATTTTCTGTGCATGTGATTACTTTCCATAAGTTCAATGGTGAATTAATACTTCCACTGTTTTACTTAGTTTACAATCAGTTTTGGTGTGCAGGATATTTTCTCGGGATTTAAAGGAACTTTTTCCATTCTAACATATATATCAACTACTGGTATCGTGTTAAAAAATATGCTGAAATCTCTTTCAAATTTATGTGAAGAATTAATGTAGGTGTTTTAATGAATGTATTTTTAATGGAAAACCTAAATTTAGTTGTTGTTTTTTTTAGTTATAGCAACAGATAAAAGATGGTGCTACTATAGTGTGCATGCAGTCTACAAAGATATTTACACTACAGTGTTTGGTCTACACAGATAATACCATCATTAACATTTTAACTTTTGTTTACTTGCAATTTGTGACATTTATTATAAATAATGCTTTTAAACTAATAAAGCACAAAATACCATTACAAAACATTTTTTGGGGCAAATATAATTGGAATGAAATGAATTCCAACAATCAAAACTAGTACAATTATAACCTAAATTTAAGGTACTCTTTTGGAACACACAACTTATTAAATTATTATTATTTGCTGAACAAAAACATGGATAGATATATGTTATGTTTTAGTGAATCATTAAAATGGTGATGATGATAGTATCTGTATGGACCGCACCCTATAGTAGCACCTAAAAGGTTTTGTTAGTAAACCTTAGTTAGGCAAGGTGAAACTACTATTGCATGATGAAGATCATAATTAATCATACTTACAAGTCTTCACAAGTTTCTTTGTCACGTTAAATATTAAAGTGTGTAAATAGTTTAACACGATAGATGTGCAACTTATATATAAAAAATATTATTAATGGATTCATTCCCTCCTGAGAAATAGTGGTGTGTTTTCTTAGATGATCAGTATTATATTTCAGACATTTCAAAATGACATCAGTGACATTGTCAGTGTAGATGGATGGAAAAATACAGACAGGCAGATAGACATAAAATATTTCAGAAAATTAATTTGAAAAGTTTATCAAAGCATTTTGTATCTAAAGATAATTATTAAAACATTTGTGCTCAATTAAACTTCATATGAAGAGCAAAACAACTTCAGGTGGGCAAGTAGCCTGTGAAAATATGCACTTGTATTATTTCTACTAAAATGGGATTTTTAAAGCAATGGTGCATTACAAATCTCCATTAAAATCATAAAGACTAAGTGAAGGCTCAATTTTTGTAATTAATAAATCTCTGACATATATTAAAATGCTTTTTCAATCTAAATTGTTTCAGATTTCCAAAGTTTTGGTTGATAAGCATAGTTAGCAAAGTTGTTTTTTTTTTCAGTACTTGTAAACAAGGTTATAGTCAGTGTACGAGTTACATTTTATGTTCTGTTGTACAGGTAGTTAAATCTGAAGAACTTGGAATCCAGTGGGTAAGTCACTACGTTTCATATATTTAAAATACTCGTAAAGAAATCACATATGTATTTACATATTGCTGCTATAAACTCTTAATTTTGATTCTTGTATTTGAATTAGTGTACGTGTCATTTTCGGTGATATCTTTCAAAAGCAATTTGTTTCTGAATTTTACTCTGCTATGAATCTGTTATGTGAGTCAAATTACGTTTAGTGTATCTCTACATCCTGTGCAGAGTGTTAGGTATGTTCTGTTAAAACAATTTTGAATATTCAAATCAGCAAGTAAAATGACAATCACAGCCAATATAGAGTATTGCTGGAACAGAATTTATCAGAACTACATCTTGACACTGCTTGGCATTTTGTAGGAAGTATGATGTCAGTCTGGTCTTTATCTATCAGTTCTGTCCAATGTAAAATATTTATACACTCGGGTCTTAAACAGGTGTTCAAATTGGAGTTTTAGAATTTCCAAGACTGACATCTCTTCTACTTAATGTCATTGGAAAACAAAGAAATATGTATCAATTTGAGGCATAAGAACCATCCAGAGAAAGAGACCTACAACAAGTTGTTCCCCCAGCTGTACTCATTAAAGTGCAGCATCTTGTAACTGGTGAGAATCTGTGAACACATAGGTCTGTGGCAAAAGTATATAGGATTTACATTTTCTCTGTGCCTTTCTAGTTTCTGAAGTATTTGTGTTGTGTATAGAATTTTATTTTGCTATTATGGGATATTTATTTTTAATGGTATATTAACATTTCGTTAGATTTATAATACTCAAGCTCTTAAACTATCACTTAAAATTGACCAACACTCATGATCGTTATTCTTTAATGAACGTCTATTGATTATAAGAAATTGATTTGTGACTATATAAACCTATTTACCCTCAGAAAACCATCTTTATTGTTACTTTCATATTCTTTTAGTACCATAAACTTGATTCTGCATCTCAAAGGAATTTTTAATTTTTAGTAAACATTATTTTCAGCTGATTATAATTTTCCACATCATCGTTTTGTCATGATCATTTTAAAATCATTTAGAATTAGCCTGCATATTATATTTTAGCTTCAGAAACCATTAAAATTACTATAAAATCTTTTTTACATGTATCTGATCTTTGCTAAAGTAGATTTTGTTGCTTTTTTGTAGCTTTCATTTTAGATAATTTGTTTTGTAGTTTTGTTTAGTTTGCTTCTTTTTTCGTTTTAGTTGATTATTTTGTAGTCTTTTGTTTTGGTTGATTGCTCTTGTAGCTTTTGTTTTGGTTGATTTGGCTTGTAGCTTTTGTTTTGGTTGATTTGGCTTGTAGCTTTTGTTTTGGTTGATTTGGCTTGTAGCTTTTGTTTTGGTTGATTTGGCTTGTAGCTTTTGATTTGGTTGATTTTCCCAGTCAAATATTATTCTTTACTTTTTTTGTTTCTGTATCAACGTTTATTTTTGCCACCTTATTGAATTTTGTGTTTTCCTCTCAATCTTTGTGTATTCATACTTAGCACTTCCAAGATTTCATGGAGCACCTCACCTTCTTACATTGTTTCTTGTGCAACTTTTATTAATACAAAAAAAATAGCTTTTGATTAAAAATATTTCACTGTTTTATTGTATTGCTTTGTTCAAATGAAGTATTTTTCATCCTGCCTTGTATGGAAAGTGCATATTGCATTAGCTAACTGCTTTTAACTGTTAGACTGCACCAGAATAAATATTTGTTTTTATTAGGTTTTTAAAAAAATGTTTCAGTATGTTTTGATATATATTTCACCTATAGTGAGTTGGTCATTAGCAGCCATATTACAAAATAAATTAATTCTAATGCTTTTAAATAGACATTTTAACATTCCTTTTGTGTCTGTAATTAACATAGAATGCTATTAATCATCCAGTTACATTGTGAGATTAGTTTTTCCTATTTGTATGGTATTATTGCAGCAGTGTTTTTTTAATGAAGTTTGGCAATTTTCTTCACTTGTCTCAAAATCCTATCTTTCTGTCCATTACAGCAAATGTTTTGTAATGTATTTTATGATTTTGCACGTTCCTTCTGTCTGATTGTAGCAGTAACAAAATATGGTTATACATCAGTATGATTGTAGCAGTTACCAAATATGGTTGTACATCAGTATGATTGTAGCAGTTACCAAATATGGTTGTACATCAGTATGATTGTAGCAGTTACCAAATATGGTTGTACATCAGTATGATTGTAGCAGTTAACAAATATGGTTGTACATCAGTATGATTGTAGCAGTTACCAAATATGGTTGTACATCAGTATGATTGTAGCAGTTAACAAATATGGTTGTACATCAGTATGATTGTAGCAGTTACCAAATATGGTTGTACATCAGTATGATTGTAGCAGTTAACAAATATGGTTGTACGTAACTGACAAAAGATCTTGGAATTTTAATCAGCTTGTCTGCTTAGTAACTTCGAAGAATAAATTAATAGCACCAGTGTTACGTATTCTTCAAATCCTGTATGAATGTAGCTTCACTGTATCAAGTAAAAGACAACTCAAAACACCATACATATAATATACACTCCATTGCAATATGAAGTCTATCTTTGTTCTTTTGCTTTGCCTTTATTTATGGGTACTGATGAGGGTTATAATTTCCAAAACTGGTTTAACTCAGTGACAAATGGTGAATCCAGTGATAAATTGGGCTTCATATTTATTTTTATTATGACAAAATTAGAAAAGTGAATCTCAATATTCTGTAATATGTAGCAGTGAATTATTTCACTGTTTAGGAATTGGCTTGTTCAGAAGTTAAATGGAAATTCAATAAGTAGGTACCTTTGTCATAAATTAATAACAGACAAAGTCAAAAGTTTGCACTGTAAAAATCTAGGTGTTTTAAGGGTCATAGCACTCTTTGTTTTTGAAACCTTGACAATTCTCTAATTTTGGGCTTTTTATTCTGTGGATGCCATTACTGACCCAGTTGGAATAGCTCCCACTTTCGTCTTTAACTTTTAGTAAAATCAGAAGAATTCCGTTTTTGAGAGGGATATTTTCTTCATTCTAATCTTTTATTGGTAGCCATAATTTGATACTCAGAAATTATATAGATGATGATTTTGTGACTGAACTGAGGTAACGTATGGATTGATGTTCAAAATTTTTCTCCTACTATCTAATCCCAACATAAACCACGAACCTGAACTTTTACTGAGAGCCTTCCAAAATAAGTGGAGTTCAAAGCTTTGTTTTCAGTTCTTACTTCAATTTATGTTATGCTAACTTGATCATTGCTTAAAGTTTGTGCTTATCTTCGTAAGAGCTTTAGTAGTTTAATTATTGTGATAATTTGGATTTTATTACATCTCCCACTTGCAGTATTTGAACTTGCAACTTTTTACACACTTGGCGAATGCTGTATCAACTGAACTAAGGAGTTAACCTTCTAATGCTTCCTGTTAAAACACTTTTCAACATTTGAAACTACCATGTGATTCCTTTAAGCTTTTTTAAAAGTACTGAGTTGCATTACACCTTCTCCACAAGTTTTCTGTTAATTTACATTCAACATTATTTTCTTCTTATTAATTGTTTTCAAAGCTCTATGAATTATTGGCTTTTGGGAAGAGGCTGAATTTATGAGATTCTGAGTAGTTCTGTACCATGCTTTATGTTTAATCACTTTTCCAAGACACCTTTTGATATTTGTTCTTTGACTGACTGCCTCTTGTCTAGAAACATTTTGACTTTAAGCATTACCTCGAAGAATGATCAGAGAAAAATTTAATAGAAACATAATTTTGTGTTGTTGCTTTGCTTTTCAAGATCCTGAAAATAATTTATCTTGTCTCACCTTAAGAGCAAATGAAGCCTAATGTTTATTTGGCTATGTCATGTCCTCAAGGTTTGTCATCACATCTGCCTTCTGTTTTTACTTCTTTTCATCCACAGCTGAAGACAAGAGTTAGGTAGGAGTGGCTTACAGCTTTTGTATCAACTAGAAAAATCTCCCAGTGGTTTAACTTTCTGATATTAAGAAGAAATTACCCTCCTTCACTCAACAATTTCATCTCTTTTTGAGAGGGTAGTAATCGAGATTGTTTCAACAAATCCCAAAATGTATACTTTGATTATGGTGTCATTAAATAAAAAAATTGGCAGTATGCAAGAAGAGAAGCATGCCCTTCTGGACTTTGTATACACTACAAGCAGTAATAAGTTTTAAGTTTTACTTTACTTAAAGATATTGTAATATTAATAATAAGGTTCAGGAAAATGAAGTGTTAAAGTTGTGTATATTAGGAACAATGTATTAAGTGAAAATATATTACCTAGATTTTCCATCATAATAAAGACAAAAAAATATATATACATATATATTAAGGCTATTTAACTGTACGTATTTAACATACTTCGGTAGTTATTAGTATACAATATTTTATGATCAGAACATGCATATATTTCATGAACTATTTCATAAACACACTTAGCACTTAATCTTTTAAAAATGGTCAGTGGGGTAATGAATGCAAGACTACTTGTGTCTGGGTTGGACTTTTAACTGTCACATTTATATATTCCTCACCATCATATACATTGATAAATTGTGGTAGTTTCAATTTAGAAGTCTTCTTTTACTTACCAACCCAAAATGTAATAGTGACATAAATACCTATTCTGTTATTACAGTTGTGGCTCAGTGGTAAGTCAGGCCAGGTGGTTAGGGCGCAATCTGCGGGTCGCGGGATCGAATCAAACATGCTTGCCCTTTCAGCCGTGGGGGCGTTATTATGTGACAATCAATCCCACTATTCGTTGGTAAAAGAGTTGGCGGTGGGTGGTGAGGACTAGCTGCCTTCCCTCTTGTCTTACATTGCTAAATTAGAGACGGCTAGTGCAGATAGCCCTCGTGTAGCTTTGCGCGAAATTCAAAACAAACAACAACAGTGGTAAGTCACTTATAATACAGGTAGTTGGAATAGCACAGATAGTCCATTGTGTAGCTTTGGATTAAACAACAAAACAAACAGTACTTGACCCATTGTTTAAAAGTTTTTTGTTTTAAATAATGTATTGAACCTCATGCATACCTTCCTTTTTATGATTGGCTTGACGTAGTAAAGGTCATCTTGTAAGAAGCTACAATAGGTTGATAAGCATGTTTAGAAGCGATAGTTAACTGCGAAATTTGACTTCCATTTTTCTTACAGTGGAGATATGACTAGTACTGAATTAGTTAATATAGTTTTTGTGCTTATTTCTAATTGAATTATCTTTGCGAAATATAACTTAATTGTCTTGTGAATTAGGTTTTTGTCCAGTATGCCGTTTTTCTTTTGTTGTTGTTTTTTTTTTTGTGTGATAATAATTTACGTATTTTTTAACATGCAATTCAGTAATATTTCAGTTTGACTTTAACATGTGAATCTAAACATTTACCTCTTATTAAATTCTAAATGTTCATCCAAGGCGTGATATTAAGAACTAAGCCTTTATTGAAAGAGTTAAAAATTCGGATTGTTCTGTGTGTAGCTTTCCTTTAAGGAACTCCCCTAGAATACCGACGTTTAAAAATGTGCATAATTTATTTTAAGATATCTGAACAATGGCTGACATTGTTATATTTTCTGACATAATTATTATAAACATCACTTTGTTAAATTCATAATTCACTTGTAAAACTAAACATATTTTCTATAGAAACGGGCTTCATTTTATATAGCCTTCAGAGCTTAGTTTCTATGGTAACGATAATTTTGGTTATAAATACGATTTTATTCTAAATGGACATTAGTTAGGTTATAGTTATACAGAATGAAGGACATTAGCTCTCTATAACGGTTATAATTTTTTTGAGTTCTCTTAAAGTCTTAGAACCTATAATTCATAACGAAGTTTGTAATCATTCCTTAACTAAAAAAATCGTCTGTGATTAAATCGTGTAATGATGAAAAATTAAGGTTTTCCAAGTCATATTAATATTGAATATATTGTGACGTTTCAGACACGCCATGTTGTTTTTGGTGAAGTTTACTATAATCATGAAATTTTGTTCAATTAAAAATACCGTGTCGATAATATTTTGTGTAAAAAAAAAAAATATTTATATATTTGTGAAACTTTACAAAGAAATCCTTTTCCTTCCCCCCCCCGGAAATTTTAAATTGCCTAGGACTTGGTAAGTGAACTTCAGTCTAATATTATTATTAGATTAAATTGATAGCTTACGAATCACCCCCGAGGCAAAGCAGTGGGACGTGCCATATGGCTTTCAGGCCGTGTCTGTAATCGAGGATGGTTGTGCGTGAAGCCAGTAGGTACGGGGTTTATGAGCACAGTTAGTAACATTTACTATCGGTACTGAATCGCAGGACATAAACCGAGCACTTAAGAGATTTGTTGCTCTAAACTGGCGGCAGAGCGAGGTGGCCGGTTTTGAAAGAGGAAACAAGCTTTACGAAGAGTCGTCTCGCTATATGGCAGCCCCTAAAATAACAGCGCTTGGGTTTGTTTTACTATTTCTAATGGCGTACATTTTAACAACAAGGATGGTGTTCTAGAACGTCATCTTTTCTCCATAAGCCTGTGCTGTTCCATAACTACCGAGAAAAGCTCGGTGGGGTTGTAAGTTATACTCGTAATATAAATAGCAAGTGTTGATCAAATAAGGCGTCTTCAGACCTGCACCGGAAATGACTTGCTACCTTTTTTTTTCTTTTTTTAAGTAACGATAAACGAAACACAAATTATTCGTTATTTTAGAACATAACATATTTATACGGAAGCTTAGTGTTTGCGTAAAAAAAAAAGAAAAAAGTGGAACGTCAGAGAATTATTAAGTATTACCAGTAATAATTTAATAATGGTTAATGAAATTGTTATTTATAATTATAGAGGTTGCAGTTTGATTTTACCGTTTCGTACCAACAGTATCCGTGCCTTTCTCTGGATATGATGAAGGCAACTTCATTTATGAAGCTAATTTGAGAAGGAAAGATTGTTTCAAACTGACAAAATGATTGCGTGCGAATTCATTTGTGGCAAAACAAAGGTTAATTTTGATCTCTGCTCAAAGCAAGCTTCCTGTATAGATCAGAGTTTAAAATATGCATCTCTAGTAATGAGCGTTGCTAATTAAATTTAATGTTCTAACCAGTAATAATGATTAGAATGCATTATTTCGTCGGTTGGGTATTCGCGTTTTCAATGATACTTTCGGCCGTAAGTTGGCAACTTCATAAAAAAACAAACTAACAACCAAAATTCTATCATCAACGCAACGAGATCCTATAAAAATAGTGAAAATAAGTTAAATAATAAAGTGGGACTTGAACCCAACCCAATTTGGAAATTGCCTTTTAGAATTGGTTTTTGAACTTTACTACCAATTCTGAACTTTGACCTTTCTGGGCTGTTTTGAATCCGAAGGTATAAGAAGCTGAGAAGGGGTTTACTCTGTCCCTTGAAGATTAAGCTTGACCTGTCTGTCGAAACTAGTCCGAGTTATTTTTTTTTAATTTTTGTTAATTATTTAATCATTTGTGTATTTATTACGCTCATGCGATATTACTGTTTTTTTTTAGTAAACTATTTATATGGAATAAACGTGTAATTCTTTTAGCGATTCGCTGTATCGTAGACTTAGAACACTGTTATTTAGATTATTATAGTTTACAATTAAATAGTATTCTAAGTATAATTAATGCTTGAAATTTTATTTTTGAAATAACCTTTTATACATCGAAGCATTTATTGATGCCATGCGTGGAGTGTAATTAAATTTTTTGGTGTACTACTTCAGTAAGGGAAGGTTTGTAATTACAGTTTTATTAGCTGTGTATAACTTTTGTGTAAGTTAAAAAAATTATAAGATACAACTTTATATGAATGAAACTTTGATTTAATAAAATACTTTGTTTATGCTTGTGGGCGTCCAAGGGCTGAAGAAGAAAATCCCTTATGTCTGTAGATGTTGGACGTCGTATGAAGGATGGTATAATCATCTTAGGCGAGATTGGTGGTCGCCGTGAGGATGTTGCGATGTCTGCTGTGCAGGGTTTCAGAAAGGCCATCCATCCAGTGCTTTCTTGGTTTCCCTCTTCCCCTGTAGCGTGGCAGTCCGTTGTTTTGGGTTCTCGCTGCTGATTGGTTGTCTACGTTTTACTGGCTTTACCTCGACCATATTTCCGATGGCTTCATTTATTAATTTGTCCCTTCCTATTTTGTTTACTGCTCTTGTTTCTCATGTGGTGATCTCCTGTTCATTTCATTTGTCTGTGGTCCACATCTGGTAACTAAGGGTTGGAACCAAGTTTGCATTCATGAGTTTACGTTTAATGTTTATTGGTATTGGTGGACGTGTAACAAATGGTACCATGTGGTAACTTTGTTTGCTTTCTGGTAACATGTTTCTATCTCGCGATCCATCTTTTCATCCTCCGTGTTGACACTGTCAAGGTATTCAGAACTCTTTGGCTTGTTGAAAGTTGTTGTTGACTTGAATGTTTAGAGATTTGGGTGATTTGTGTTGTACTGGTCCTCTTGGCTTAGTTAGATGGTGTGTGAAATTTAAAACGTATTCAAGTCCGTCAAAAATATGGATAGCTTACACAAAAGTTACACTAAAACTTTTTTATATTACTATTCCAGTGTTCGCACTTTTTACAATAAAACATTTAAAAAAGAAAATATTGTTCTCCTACATGTTTATCCCAACGATTATTCAACCAGGATTAAAACTTGGTCACATACTTGGTTTTAGAACTTTGGAAACAGTTTGTTGGTGTGTTATAAAAGTGAGGATCAAATCACACTATTCGATTAGAATAACCCACGAGTTGGCGGTGGGTGGCGTTGACTAGATGCCTTCCCTGTTGTCTGTCACTTCAAAATTAGTGACTACTAGCGCAGATAGCCCTCGAGTAACTTTGCGCGAAAATCAACAAACACCACCACATGGATACATTCACCTATGTGGAATTAACCGTAATTTTGTTTAATGCTAGAACAATTCATTGTATTTGAAGTGATTTTTACGTTAATTTTAGGTAAACTTCACTTCTGAAATATTTTCTTCTATACAGTACATATGATATATAACCAAAACTACTGAAACACTTGTGTTGCTACCATGCCCAATAAGTCTAGCGTGGCATGATGGTCAGGGCGTTCGACTCGCAAGCTGAGATAAGCGGGAACGAAACCTGTCCCGAATGTATTCGACCCCCTTCAGCCTTGGGGAGCGTTATAACGTGACTGTTAGTCCCACTGTTCGTTGATAAAGAATAGCCAAGTAGTTTGCGGTGGGTGTTGTTGACTAGTTGCCGTCCCTCTAGTCTATCGCTTCAAAATTAGGGACGACTAGCGTAGATAGCCCTTGAATAGATTTGCGCGAAATTCAATAAAATAATCGAAACGTAATATAGCTTTTGAGCTGGGTATGGCTTGGTGATTAGTATGCCGGATCGAAAGATTCAAGATTCGAGCCTTTATGTCACTGAACAAC